TCTTACATTTTATTTTTCACAAATCAACAAAGCAAAAATATACAAAACAAAAATATACAAAACAAAAAATATATGTTAATTTAAATGTCCAAAGGGCACATTTTGCAACCCAACCTGCTCTCAGGCCCAGTCTTTCTCAGCCTATGGGTCTAGAATCTGCAGCTGCTCTGTCTCTCCATGCCATTGCCTCTGTCACCATCTCTGCTATTGCCACTTTTCTAGATAGATCTCATGCTCCACTCATACTCTTCCTTCTTGATGGTCCTAGGATCCTCTGTTGCTGGAATGAAAGATTAACTATTTCCATCTTTTAGTTACACATCTTGTACAATTGTGACATCTTCTACAGTTGTGGCAATCACAATGAAACCTGCTAACAATTACAATTGAATCATAAAACCCTATCACCATCATTCCTCATACTCTTTCACCAGATCCATCTGGAAAAGAGGAAGTCTGTTCAGGGGTGGGATTCTACATTATCCCCCTCATTCTGAAACTACCCACACTCATGAAAGCTTGTAAGCCAGCCACTTCGTGCCTTTATAGTCCCCCATTTTTGATAGCCAGTATCTAAGTTGTCCCTATTAACCCAGTGCAATGAGAAAACAAGCTTGATCCTTGATATATAAAGAGTTTGTCCATTTCAATTGGAATTTTGAGCAACTGTATCCATAGCAAAAGTCCAGTTCATCAAATTGTAGCAATTTACACTTTTCACAGTGTCAAACATACTTAGCTTCATCTGGTTGAATTCTGGTCAGCCTGCCATCTAAGATAGGTCAAATGGGTTGTTGTTGTTGTTGTTATGTGCCGTTGAATAGAGTCGATGCTGACCCATAGCGACCCTGTATAGAGTTTCCAAGAAGCAGCTGGTGAGCTTGAACCACTGACCTTGCAGTTCAAATGACTTTGCAGTCTGACACATTAGCCCATAGCGCCACACCAGGACTCCTGGTCAAATGGGTACTCAGTACAAATTTGGGAATTCATGCATTCTTCCCTGCACTTCAGTTGACTGCTTCACTCTCATCTCTAGGCTCCAGTGGCTAGGTTGGTGCCCCTGGGTTTCGGAGTTCACACATCTCCTTAATCTTCAGACTGACCAGCCAGCCCTTCCTCTTGTCTCTCTTATCTCAAGGTCAATGGGTATCAATGGAACATGGTCAAACTCAGCCCTTGTCTTCATTCCTGCATTTCCCCTTTTCCACTCACAAGTAGACCAGGTGATCACCAGTGAGCAGAGTAGACTGTTTATGGACTCTCTTTAAGTTTCAGTCTTAGAAGGACGTTTTTCCATGATGGACTGACTTTTCTTGCCTCGATGCCTCCAAAGCAAATAGCTTGCTTGATATTCTAACAGCCAAACAGTCTGCTTTTTTTCTTATTGTATTTCTTTCAGTAAGAAATCTGTTTTCTCAGCCTGTCTGGGTTGGTTTGCTGGTCTTTTCAAGTGGGAATGTCTCACCTCAGAAGGTTCTTGGTAGGGTGAATTATTATAGTTGATACTTAAACTTTTCAGCAGGGTTTTGTTATTAGGTACCATCGAGTCAGTTCCAACTCATAGTGACCCCATGCACATCAGAACAAAACACTGCTTCATTGTGAAGATGATCCTGTGCCATCCTTACAATTGTTTTTACACTTGAACCTATTGCTGCTGTGACTGTGCCAATCCATCTTGTTAGGAGTCTTCCTCTTTTTC